GGCTGGGGCTGCCGGCACTGGGGACACCCCTGGGCCTGACCACAGGGGCCACGAGTGATGTCTGCAGGTGGACGCCACCTGCCAAAGGCCTCTCTGGAGGACACAGGCTCCTCCTGCAGGGGCAACAGGGAGAACCGCCTGCCTGCCTGTTGCCCTGCAGACGCCTAACCTCCTCCCTCTAAACCACCCCGGGCAACAGATGGCTTGCTCATAGCCCAGCAAATCCCGGCTCCTGAGTCCCGGACAGAGAATGCCACTGCATGGACAGGAAGTCTGTGGGCAAGGCCGAGCGTATAGGCCCATCTGCAGTCAGTGCGTCCGTGCCAGTGAGCAGCCAGGGGGGCTCCGCCCTTCGGCGAAGCTGCCGGGTTGTGTGTGTGTGTGTGTGTGTTGGGGTGTGGGGAGACCCTTCAGCCAGGTGGGCTACTTTGGCTCTTGACCACTTTGTCCCTTGGAGCAGCCCACAAGTTCTAGGTCCATCCAGAGTCTAGCTTGGCTCGCGAGGGGCAGGGAAGCTCTGGCCAGCGTTCAGGGTTCCTGCATCACCCCATTCCCCTGGTTATGTGGATCTGGGAATGCTCATACTTGAGTGCAGGGAAGGGACCTGGGAACCCCAGAAGAGGGGAGGTAACCAGGCGTTGGCCATGATCCAGTCAGCGGTGACGTGGCAGAAAACAGAACAGGGTTGTTTGGGAAGAACAAGGCCAGGCGGCCTGGGGCCCTGCCTGACTGCGCGGTGGGACAGTGCGTTCACCCGGGAGGGAGCGGGACTGCAGGCGAGGCGAGGAAGAGGGGGTTACTCTGCACCCCAAGCCCAGTGTGGCCTCACCCCGCTGGGGCATTCCTTTCCCTCTCTCTGCCTCCGTGTCAGCTGCACCTGTGAACTGGGGAGCCCCCCCAATGTCCCAGTGTCAGCAAGGGGTTGTGGGGCTGCTGAGGGCACAGTGCCATGCAGACACGAGGCTTACACGGCCCTGCAGGTGGGGGTCCCTGGGCGACCCCCGCCCCGAGGCAGGTCGGGGTGGCATTGGCAAGCTTGAGAAAAGAGACACTCCACTCAGACCACCGTCTTTCTTCACTCTTTACTGTGTAAAAATAAACTCAACAATTCATGTCGTTTCAGCAAGAAAATGAAAAAAAAAGCAATACCAGTAGAAATAGTGCATTTCCAGAATTGCTGATGGGAGGTGGCAGGTCCCATGGTTCTGACCCATTTGATACCCAAAAGGCTGCAGATCATATGAAAAATGTACAGCTTTGGTTAGCAAATAATGAAAAAGTAAGATACATCGATTCTCTTTCATATTATACAATATATACATTATAACAATATCAACCAGAGGGGGTTTGCTTTGTCGGAATTTTTTTTTTTTTTTGGCAAATAAGACAAAATTGGGACTCTAAGTATTGGGCTTTTTTTTTTTTCTCCTCAATGACTTATTCCCCTTCAACAAATTGCACTTAAGTCCACTGTGCATGGAAGTGACACATTTCCCATCATTAGTTGGATAAATTTACACACTGTGTTTTAAGAGATGAAACCACGGCTGTGTCAAGCCACATTTTGGTTGTCGTGAGATTATAAAGGATATTATCCTCTTTGTGTTACCAACACGTAACCCTAGTTCTTTCTACCAGGATTGGAACTGATCATCAAGTCCTTGACTTAAGTCAGCTCCGAGGCAAAGGGTCCACCATAAATGGCCAATTCACATCCTGGCCCCCAACACCTTTGAGTACAGGTGGCCCCTCTTTGGAGCTCATTGGAATGACTGAACCTCATGCCCACAAGACACCCCCTTGGTCTCAGGTCCCAGGGCTGGTGACAGAGTGATCTTTGCAGTCTTAGAAAATAAACTGGGAATCTACAAAAGGAAAAGAAAGCATACAAAATGTATCTCTTTCTTCCAAAATACACGCTTTCAGTCCTACGTTTTGGCGGAGCCTGAAAGTATTTTCCAGGGAGATAGAGGATGATTTAATTTTATAGGTTTGTCCTTTTCTTTCATAAAAATACTCTTGTTTGGTAATAAACTTTTTCTTCTACAGTAAGAGAAATAATACTGTGTTATCAAAAGCAAGAAGGCTTACGATTCCAGTGGGATCTAAGCCCCGAGGGCCCGGAGAGCCTCCGTCAGCAGCTCCCCCACCTCGGACATCCAGGGAGCTGTGGGACACCAGCTCAGCAAGAGCTAACACCGCCTCGGCAGTGCTGTGTGTCTTCTTATTTTATAAAACGGCTTACCTGAGATAGGCATGTGTTATTCAGTGCAAGAGGGAGCGTCGATCAGATTAAGGAGGAGATGGGAGACTACGTGGATTAGATTTGTGGCTGTGTCATCAACCTTCCTTGGGGCCGGCAGAGTGCCAAGTGTTTACACAGTGAGGGAGTCAAGGGCTTGGCACAGGCTCCAGCTAGGGGCAGGAAGGGAGCCGAATATCAGCTTCTGTCCCTGGCACCGTGGGGGCATCAGGGGAGGGCCAGGAAGGTGAACAGGGCAGGAGGCCAAAGGGACAGAGGCATAAGCGTCTGGGGTATGCTCTGCCCGTCTCTAGCTAGGGCAGAGGATGGCTTGTGGTCCTGAACGGACAGCTCCCACCACGGCCGCCTGGGGGCGGAGGGTGGTCTGGGGTCCGCTAGATCGGCAGGGGCTGGTGTGGGGTGCTGGCAGGAGAGCACCCAGCTCCCTGTGGGCCTCGCCTAAGCAACAGCCGCGAGGGGGCTGAAGTGAGGGGTGGGGCCGACCTGGTCTAGAGGGGTGATTCCAAGCTCTCGCTCCGTCCCAATCATGGGCTTTGTTTAGGCTCCTTGTCAACCTACATGTGAAAAATACTTCTTGGTGTGTTTGGGGAGTGGGGAGGAGGGAGAGGGAAACTGATCCCTCCCTTGACCTCCCCCGACACCCTTGGCTCGCTTCTCCAGCCATTTTCAGTAGCGACGCGGATGGTTACGGGACGATGGGTGGCGCTGGGCACACAACACAGAACCAGAAGTTCATGCAGGCAGGGGCACACATCAGACCGAGGGAGCAAGGGGCGCGCCACCCCGAGGAACATGCAAACAGAGAAGATCCCTGCAGATCCAAAGATGCCACAACCCGACGGGCTCTGACGAAGCACAGGGGTCTCAGAAAAAGCCACTGTTGAACCACTACACACAGCGCGGCGCCCGAACCGCACCCTCTGAGCAAGAGCGATGCGTCACAGGACGGTGACCGGGTACTGTGCACACACCCACGTGGACACTAACACGGAGACACCAACACAGACGCACACAGATGCACTAGGTTTCCGACGCAACAGGGACCTGTGTGTGAGGAGACAGGTGCCCCTGGAAGGAACAGAAGACAGGGACACCTGCTCCTCCCAAAGAAATGTCTGCAGCTGTAGATGAGCCAGGCAGTGCGGTAGGATTTCTAGAAAGACTTGCCAGCCTTTTGCTAATTAGACTCCTGGTGACAGAGTCCACGGTGCCCTCAAGGCGTGTGACCCCCAGATGGTACAACAGAGCTGGGAGCCCACCTGGGGAATGGCCCGTCTTCGTCTCTCTCTCTCTCACTCAACACACAGAAACACACAGAAACACACACACACGCGCGCGCGCATACACACACACACACACACACACACATTTCCCCTTGCCTCGGAAGGACTAGAAGGAAATGTATGGGTGCTTTTCATGGGGGGAAAATAAAGTTCAAGGTTCTGGACACTGGTCGTGTCTCAGTGTCACCAGCTGGTGACAGGTTGGCGGCTGCTGCAGGACTGGAGCCCTGTAAAGAAGGGGGAGTGGGTTTCAGGCCCCAGCACTGGCCGGGGAGTTCCGCGTGGGAGGCCTTCCGAGGCCCCGCCCCCGTGGAGGACTCACCACGGCCAGCCAACCTGGGCCTGGGAGCATGGGAGGAATATGGCTGTCAAAATTAGCTCAGACCTTCTCATCCACTGGTCCAGTTTCAGTGTCACTGGTCCTAACTGGCTGGGTCTCAATCAGAATGTGGGTATCCTTGTCTAAAAGGTCCCCTGTTGAGCTGACCCACGGATGCCCCTGGTCTCCACTGCAGAGTTCAAAGGGGAGGGGCCGGGAAAGCCTGGCTTCCTGGGCTGTGGGGGACACCGCCCCCTCAGGGGCACCAGCGGGCAGCTGAAAGGGAGGGATGGAGCCCACCCTCGAAAGGGTGCAAGACTGTGGCCTGGAGACCTGGTCCTGGGCCAAAGCCAGAGAGCTGGGCATGCAAACCAGCTTCCCAGGCCCAGCACCATCCTCAGACGCCACCCGCAGGGGTGCTGCCTGGGCACTGGGCGGGGACTGCCCTCTTCCTGAGGCCAGCCGCACCCCCTGCCCCTCAGCAGCCTCTCCCTGTCTCACCACCGGAGAGCACAAGGTGCCACCCCAGGGCACAGTCGGAGAGAATCCGCTCCTACTACGAAAGAGAAATTCTCTGTGGAGAGGCCCCCTGGCCTCGAACCAACTGCTACAAGACATTTATTTTCCCGGTAGAGAGAGAGGTGGCTCTGGAAAAGGTTTGCAAAGACAGACGCGCGTGCGGAGGAAGCCGCGCAGCCCCGAGGCCTGCGGGCAGCTCACAGAATTGGCAAGTACAGCTATTCGACCAGTCACAAGATTTCCCAATACCACGGAGGAAGAAGGAAAGGAGACAGCTCATTCTGAAAGAAAGCGCCTCCCTCCCAGAGACACACACTCGCCCCCCCACACACATCCTCACCTACGTCTGCCCGGCCCCATGTCGCAGCCGCAGCCGAGGGCGAGCGTGAGCGGGGCGGGCCTGAGAGCAGGCGTGGGCTCCTCCAGGGAAGTGGGGCCTCCTCCTGGGCAGGAGGGCGGCCTGGGCTGTGTGCATGTGCGTGCGCGTGCGCGGGTGAGGGCCTTGAGTCACTCCTGGGGGGAGGGAGAGAAGAAGACACGAGAGGGTCATCACCGCACAAGCAGGGGGGAGGTGGGCTGGCAGGCCCGAGGGGCGGGAGGCTCGGAGGCAGGAGCCTCAGTTGATCTGGCGACAGGCTTCGAATGTCCACTTGGTGGCTCCCCCGTAGATCTCGATGTGGGACTCGGCCCAGGCAATGACATTGCCAGAAAGGGCCTTGGTGCTGCAGGTGGCCAGGCTGTACACCTCCCCGGGAGTCAGCTTGCGGTCCCAGATGTTGAAGTGGGCCAGCTCACCCACGAATGCTTGGGTGGCGTCGAACCCGCCACCCAGGGTGTCCTTCAGAGAAAAGCAGAGGGTGAGGGTGGAGGGGGCTGTAGGGGTGGGGGTCTCTCGAAGGGGGCACGTGTCCGTGTCTGCCCCATCAGGGGCTCTCACATCCACCTCGAAGTCCCCTTTTGTGTCCTGTCTCTGGGTCTTCAGCTATGCACTGGCCCCCCTCCCATGGGGAGCCCAGGAAAAGGACCACTACTGGCCACCTCTGTCCTGGATGCAGAGCATCTCCCGGGGACACCTGGACTCTGCCTGACGTGCGGCCTGTCCCTCGGCCAGTGAGGGGGTCAGCTGGGGTTATGCACCACCATAGGAGAAGGGCCTTGGGGGAGCCGCTGCTACTCTCCCTGCCGAGACGAGCTCAGATGTCACTCTTTGCCGAGCCCAACGGGAACAGAAGGTCTGGGACCCTCCCACCTACGCTTCCCTCTGGGTGCCCAATGGGAGACAAACCACTTCCAGGAAATAAATTATGCATCGCTAAAGGCAGATTGGCCTTCCCGTGCCAAAGAAAGTGTCATTGCAGCCCCCGAACATTGGGACGAAAGCCCACTCCCACTTGTGCAGGGACCTAGCCCAAACTGCTGCAGAACCTGCTTCCCTTGGCTCCTTCTGGGAATGGGGGGACCACTTGCCCCTCCGACCCGCTCCCTCCTTGCTCCCCCTTGTCCCTGGTCACCCACCCTGGTTCTCCTTCCTCTGGTACTGGGGCTCCTCCCCCTGCAGCCAGCACCCCCGCCGGCCCCCAGGCCAGTACCTGCTCCTGGCCCAGCACCAGCACCCCCTGCGGCTTGATGGGGTGATAGGGTGCCAGGTTCTCGCCATTGCCACCCTGGGTGCCATCCTGGTAGGCTTCCCAGACCCCGTCCCGGGTAGTCCAGGTGATGCAGATATGGTGCCACTGGCCATCATTGATCACAAAGGGCAGCTTGGCCACCTGGGAAGAGGAGGACACACACGATGTGACGGGTACAGGGGCACAACGCAGATCAGTGCTCGTCACTACTCACCGCGTCAACCGTTACTCTTCTGATCACAACATTTAAAATAAATACCAAGAGCCATCACTGAATTCTCTCAGCAACTGCCCCTGTGACCTCATTGTCCACCAGCCCTATCCGTCGATGGATCATGGAGTCACATAGGAAATGTGACGACTTGTCAAGGGGCCCCTGAGATCGATCTGAACGTACAATGTCCTCACCCCTCCTCACCCGCCTCCCACTCTGCTGGTCTACAAAACCAGCCCTGGGAGGGAGAGTCCCACCGCTGGGGTCTCAGCTCACTGCTGCAGTCTGGGCCTCTCTGCTCTCCTCCAGCACGAAATTGCCAGATCTGCGGGGTCTACGCCCGCACAGCCTCTGCAGAGATGCGGACACCAGGGGCCGCACACCAGGCCTTTTAAGGCTCAGGCCAGCCTCCGGCCTGGGACTCCCCTTCCTCTCTAGCATTCTGGCGGGGGGGGGGGTGGTGGATGGTGCGGCAGATGAAAGGACCCACACACCCTTTAACTTGGGGACATGGGGCCCAGAAAGGAACCACCCTTTCTGGTCCAGGCCTCAACAGCAGGGGCCTGGATTCCAATTCCCAGCCTGGGTTTGAGATATTCACTACCGATGCTGCCACAGACTGGGGAGTTGGAAGGCCAGCAGCTCATTCCACAGCTTCGGAAAAGGCTCCTGGGAGGGAAGAGGCTGCACCCTCCAGGGGCTCATGCACATCTGGCCTCCTCCCAGGGGTGAGGGGTTGAGCAGGATAGATGTGGACTCTGGAAGAATCTCTGGGGGTACCCTCACCACCCCTAGAGCATCTGCGGTCCTCCACATACAAGGAACAAAGCCAGTTTGGAGGCGAGCTGGGGGAGGAGGAGCCGGGGTTCGATCGGAGGGATGCAGCACCCTCTGGATCATCCTGTGCCATCCCCCACCCCGGGAGGCCTCTGTCTGGGAAAGTTCCAGCTTCACACTGTTCAGGGAGTGTGGGCAAGGGCACCCCTCCTCCCCGTCTTCCCCCCAGTCCTGCCTGACGGGCCCTTCTGTTGGGGGGGGCACAGCAGTGTCTATAGCTGCAGATCTGCCCCAGGGTCGGGGGGAGGGGGGCCTGGGGGACCTCACTATGCTGTCCTGTGAGGCCAGAGGGCTGGGGGCTCTACCTTGTCGTTGATGAGGATCTCCATGGGATTGTTGCCCCACTCGATGAGAACCAGCTCGTTCGCCTGGCCCGGCACGGCGTAGGAGAAGGGCGTGCCCACCCCAGGGGCGGCGCTGGACTTGAGCCACATGCACACGGTGAAGGCGTACATCTCCGGCAGGCTCTTCTTCACCTTGGCGTACATGTAGTTGGTTCGCAGCGGGAATGTGAGCTGGAACTTGTCTCCGGGACGGTTGTCCTTCTGACCTGGAAAGGACAGTCCTCATCTGCACCTCAAAGCACTTGTCCCGGTCAGAAACGTGCTCCCCCCTACCCGCCCTCTAGCTCTGGGAAGCCTAGGAGCAGACTCACCTCCATTCTATAGCTGCTGAGAGGGAGGCCCAGCAGGGTCAAGTGCTTTGCCCTGCCCAGGGCACAAGGCCAGAACAAAAGAGCTGACCCACAGTTCTCTGCCCTCACTGCTCAGGCTCCCACATCATGCCCCTGGGGAGGCGGGGATGGGGGCGGGGCGAACGTGGTGGGCCTGGGCAGGGAATCGGTCCGTGCACACCAGATAAACCGGCCCTTGGTGGTGTGGCCACACAGGGAGGAGGTCTCTCCAGCCCCAAAGAGGCTAGCTGCCCCCCAGAGCAGCCCCTTTAGCAGACCTGATTCCTGGATGCAGTTCACAAATACTCCTCCTGGATTCCCACCCAAGACAAGCAGGCCCCCGGTGCCCAGCTCACTCCCCTCGAGGACGGGACATGCTGCAGTCCCTGGTCGCTCTTCTGACCCAGTCAACGAGTCCTGAGGGCTCTGGCTATTTCCAGAATCCTATCTACCCCACAGGCGGGAAAGACGTTCTTCTGAGGCTCTTCTAGCAACTCTGCTCGGAGCCCTGCTGAGAGGGCAGGACAGCGGGGGGTGGGGAGTCACCCCTGGAGCCAGGGCCCCCCCAAGGTGACTGCTTTGAGGACTATGTCACTCATTCTCAGGGAGAACTTCCTCTGTGTTTCCTGAAAAATCGGGCTCCTGGCCTGACAGCCTCCCTTTACACAACAGCCACCAGCTCCCTGCCTGCCAGAGATGTCTCGGCGAACGCTTGTCTGCCCCCTCTCAGCCCACACGCACTGCAGCTGTGGCCCCGGCTATGGTGTGACTGACTCCAGGCAAAACATTCCAACCAAGCAGTGGGCACAGGCACCAGGCCCAGAATCAGGAAGACACACACTTGCAAGCTCCTGGGTGTGCCTGGGGCTTGTCGGGGAGCCCAGGAGGAAACAGGCCCCCAGGCCAAGAATTATTTCTAGAAGGCATCCTGCTGGGCCAGCAACCCCCCCCATCCATTCAGGTATCAGGGAACAGCAGGCCTGGCCCCCTCAGTGCTCCCCCCAACCATCTTGGGCTTGTATTCTCGCCCCCGCCCCCGTGCACGCCTTGGAGCAGATCCAGCCCCTGACCTCTCTAGGGGCTGTTTTTCATCCCCCCCCCCCAGTCTCCCCTCCTTTCCTCCCCCCTCCCTCCTCCGTCCCTTCCCCTGATCTGTTTTTCAGTTACATAACGTGCCTTAAGATGGCACTGTTTAAATTCATCCGGCACATTTTGTGGTCCAAGAAGGGTCACGTGGCCCTGCTCCAAGCCCAGGACCACCCCCCTTTTACAACCTTGTTTGATTTCTGTGACTTCAAGGCTGAGCCCAGCTCATCTGTGAGCCCCAGGGTGCAGGTGGGGCTGGCTAGAGTTGGTGACCCAGGAACCACAGGACATGCAAGATACCAGGGCTTGAGTCATTCAGAAAATAAAACCACAGGGAGGGGGCTCACCTGAAGGGGGTAACCCGGGGATCCCCAGAGAACAGCAGGGGTGCCGTGGAGGTGGGAGAAAATGGGCCATCCCCAGCCTGCACCCCATTCCCTGCTGGGGATGGGCACCGGCTAGAGCCAGTCTTTCTTACCAGGGAGGGACTGGCAGCAGCGCAGCTACAGCGCAAACTTCCTGAAGATTAAACAAATCAGACTTGGAAAAATCCTTCCAGTGTGTGTGTGTGTTGGGGGGGTGCAGCCGACACCAATCAATCCCTTCCTGGCTCTGCTTCCCCTCCCTCCATATGTTCCCAGCGCAGGGGGCCCCAGGCCTATCAGAAACACCGACTGGAAACCCCAAAACCCAGGGCAGGGATTCAGGCAGCGGGAAGGGGCTGGAGGGGTGGAGGAGCTTCAGGCTTTTACAGCCTGAAGCGGAGCTATTCAGGAAGCCTGGAGTGAGGCAGGGTCCCACTGGCCCAGGGAGCCTCGCAGGCAGCGACGCCCCCCCACCCCCCCGCCCCCGGCCCGTTACCTTTCTCCAGCTCGCTGATCCGCTGGTGCAGGGAGGTCAGGGCGCTCTCGATCTTGAGCCTCTCCTCCGAGTCGTTCTTGGGGCCACCCTTGCCCTCCTCCAGAGTGTTCACCCGAGACAGCACCTGCCTCTCCAGGTCATCGATCTTGCTCTGCAGCAGATCCTTGAGGCTGTTGGTCTGGCTGGAGGAATTGAGCCGGCTGTACTGCTGCGGGGGTGCAAGGGCGGGGGGAAACCATACGGTTACGCGCGGAGCCGGGCCCGTGCCGGGAGGCCCGCGGCGCGGTCCCCTCAGGGCGAATGCGGGGGCGGCCTGGCGGGGAGCTCGGACGAATGGCGGTCTGCGGGGCCCCGCAGGCTCCGGGCAGCCCGGGTCGGGCTTGAGCGCCCGGCCCAGGCGAGGGTGGGGGTGTGGGGCCGGGTCGGGAGTGGGGGTGGGGCAGGGCAGAGGGGCGCACGAGCCGGAGGGGGAACCGCGGTGCGCGCGCGGACCTCGAGGTTCTCCAGGCGGGTTTTGAGCGACTGCAAAGTTTGCCCGAGTTGGCTGAGCGTCTCGGCGGCCGGCGTCCGGGACAGGTCGCCCATGGTGTTCTTGCCCGAGCCGGGCTGCTTGCGGCCACCGCCGGCCCGGGCCTCGCCGGCGCCCGCGTCCAGCGTGCTCTGGCTCTCGCAGCGGCCCAGCTTGGTGGTCAGCTCGCGAATGGTCTCCTTCTGGCTCAGGATGGTCTCCTTCTGCTGCAGCACGGTCTCGCGGAGCTGCAGCACGTTGCTCCGGAGCTCCTCGGCGCCGCCGGCGGCCACGGACGCGGCGCACATGTCGGCGTCCACGGGCACCGAAGTGCAGATGAAGCGCGTCGGCCCGAAATCCTGGGCCGCGCTGCCCAGGAGGCAAAGGGCGAGCAGCGCACAGGTGCGCGCGGCGCGGTCGGCCGGCATGGCTGCGGGCGCTGGGACCGGCGCTCCGGTCCGGCTCCTGGGACTCGGCTTGGCGGGGCTCGGCGGGCGGCCCGCGCTCTGGGCGCCGCGCTGCTCGGCCGCGCAGTCCGCACCGCCGCGCCGCCTGGCCCTCACTGCCACCCGCGCTGCGGAGCCCGCGCCTTTTATGCCGCCGCGGGAGGGGCCTCGGCGCTGCCGACGTCAGCGGGGGAGGAATCCCGCTTTAATTGTCTGCGGCCCGGCCCGCTGCGCCGGGCGGGGGTCGTTCGGGCGCGCGTGGGGGCCGCCTCCTCCGGTCTCTCCCGCCCCCGCCCCCGCCGAGCCGGCCTCGCTTCCCCGAAGGCTCCGAGAGCCGCGGAGGGCGGGGGGGCGGGCTGGGACTATAGGATGGGCCACCTGCATGATGTCCCCAAATTTCCGACGGGGCTGCGGGCGGGTGGGAGGCCGCGGCCGGCTGGGGAGACAGAATTCGGTTCAGCCCGCTTGGCCTCACAGAACACCCTCGGGGCCCGGGCAGGGGGCGTTCAAGGCCGGACCGGGTCCCCAAGGACTCAAATCGTCTACACTCCTGTACCGGGTGAGGAGCGCTGGGGAGCGGAGCCTCGCATCGCCGCTGAGTCCAGAGAGGGGGTCGCGGGGCTGCCGCACGGTGCTTGGATGCCCGTGTGGGGTTGAAATGCCGGTCTACACCCTGGGTCTGAGGACTACTCCACGACCTCATTCCTGGCTCTCCTGCCTCCCTCCCACAGACCCGGGGCTTTGGGGAGCCGGCTAGGTCCCGGGGGAATGGCAGCACCGCTCCCCGCCCTGAGCCGGCAGGGCGGGCGGGCACTTCTCGGATCGAGCCTTTCCTGCCAGCGGAGCCGGTCCGATTCCGGGCAGACGGCGCCGCCGGGGCTGGACGCTCCCTGCAGCCCCGGGGGGAGGCGCTGAGCCGTCTGTGTCCGTGGGCGCGTTGGGCTTTCTGGACTGGGTGAGCCCCAGCTCGGCCCACTTCTCCGCCCATGGCGGGTGGGGAGGGGTCCGGGCCCTCGGCAGGGTCGTCGCCCGTGTGGAGCCCCCCACACGGTGGCACTTTACTCATAGTCACCCCCGCCCCCCCCCACCCCGCACTTGTTGTCTGAGTAGCAGCGCCGCGAGGCTTGGCTCCCAGATTCCCGTCCGGGTTGGGACGCCCGGTTCCGGGCTCTGGACAGGCCCGAGCCGCTGGCGCGCCCCGGGCGGTCAGAGTTCCGAGCTGCCGCCAGGATCCCGAGGTCGGGCTCCAGCCGACAGCACGAGCCCGGGCTAGAGCCGCGGTCGGGGCGGCCTAGCTGACGTCCCAGACCCTCCCCCCAAGTCGGGGCGCTGCGCTGGCGGATCCCCCGCCCGAGGGACCCACAGGCAGCTGCAGGGTGCGAGGGCTGGGCTGCCGCCCCGCGGGTGCGAGGCGCAGCCAGCTTTTTTTGAGAAACCCCGGTCTCCTCCGTCCCTCTCGGCGGTCGCGTCCCCCACCCGTGCCCCCGGGAGCCCCACCGCCGGCGTTCTTTGGGCGCCTCAGCCCTGAACCTTCCTGGAGTCCGCGCGTCCTTCGGCCTCCGCTTCCCGGCGCCAGAGGGACCCCGCGGGCCGCACGCGGCGGTCCTGGGCTCCGAGCCTCGCGGCCCCCCGGGCTGTGCGCGCTATTGGCCTCGGCGCTCGGGGCTGCGGGAGGGGGCTGGCCCCCGGCGCCCCCGCAGGTTTGCGCCCCGGCTCTCCCCAGGCTAGAAGGCGACTCGAGAGGACCTCCCCGCGCGGGGGCCCAGGGGCGAGGCTGTCCGGGGCCGACAGGGAGGGCGCGTGGGAGCGGGAGAAGAGCCCCGCGGGGCCCCGGGCAGGCTGCGCGCACGGAGCGGGATCCCTCGGCGCGGCCTTGCGTCCTGAGGCGCGCCCACGACGGGGACCCGGGCTTTCACCACCAGGAGAGGGGACCCGGGCACGTGGCCCTGAGGGGCGCTTCCCCCCTCCCGCCATCCGGCAGGGGATGAAGTAGCGGGCCTCAGGGGAGGAGGAGGGGCCCTGGGGCAGTGTCTGGGGCAGCGGGAGGGAAGTGTGGCGCTCCGAGGGGAGGAGACCGCGGTCAAGGGCCGGACCCTTCCCCACCCCGGGGCGACTTCAGGAGCGCTGCGTCCGCCAGAAGGCGCTATGTGGGACCCCGGCGCACCCGCGGGGCAGAGCTCTGACAGGTAGGTGGAGGGCCCTGCTGCCGCATCGCTCTGCCTTCTTTCAATCCACTTAACCGGGCCCAAGATCCTGGGCAGGGGAGGATTCAGACCTGGTCGTGTCTGCGTCTTCCTCCTCCTCCCCAGTGCTCAGAGGTAGCTAAGAGCTCTGGGGCTAGGTAAAACAAAAACCCTCAGAGAAGGAACCCGCAAGCTGCCCAGCTAGCTGGTGGGAAGGTCTGGGATGCAGGGGCTTCTTCCTGCCTGGCCTGGGTGTCAGAGCCCAGAGGCGCAGAGGGCGGGGAGGGCAGGGAGCCCGGAAGACAGACAGTCCCCCATAATTCCAGGCATTCCCACTGTAAGTGTGCAATAGGTGTAAGTAACCTCACAAGCATAGATAATAGTAACATGTAATAAAAATAATTAGAAATTGATGAGCTCTGAGTGTTACCTTTATTCTTAATATAGTTTATTTAATTTTAAGCTTGTGTAATTTAAATTTTAATGATGGCTGCGTTTAACAGTCCACTTGCAAACTCCTGAACACATAGCAATCAGCTGGTGCCAGCCAGCGGCACACACCCCTGGTGGAAGCAGGGAAACAGGCCTCTGAGGTTAGGCAAAGAGGGCTGGTGGCAAGTGTGGCCGAGTCAGAGCCTGGTGCCGTGCCCAGGACACGGGCTCACCTGTCTGTCTGCTGCATTTGTCCTCTCCCCAGACCAAGGCCATGAACTGGTCTAGAACCTTCCCCTGAGCGTGAAAAGCTCCCCTAGGGGTAGGCAGGAGCGGGCCGCTGGGTGGGTGCTGACGGGGTCCTCAGAAGGTTCTGGGAAGAGTTAGGACAACACCAGACAGGGGCACATGACCCACCCATCCCTTGACTCTGAGCCTGGCCAGCAGTCCACCCTGCCTTTTAAATAGCTACCCCTGAAGTGGGCAGGTTGGGGAGCAGAGGGGCAGGGTGGGCTGAGCCGTGGGACCCCCATCTGGGAAGAGAAGGCAGGAGTCCTCATGAGCCAGCTCTGGAACACAGGTGGGCTCTGTGGGGTCTGCGTTGCTCCGAGGACATGCCGTGGGCCCCTGCTGGGTGAGCTGGCAACTTGGCTAGGATGGGAGGACGCTTTGCAGTAACAGGGCTGGCATCTCAGACATGTGGGGGACACTTCCTGCAGTGCCCCCAAGTTGTGTTTTGGTTTTGGTTCTGTGTTTTCAACAGCCCCTGCGATGCTGGCCATGTTCTGTTTCTTGATCTGGGTGCTGTTTCTTGGAGGAGCTTACTTTGTGACAATGCAGTGGACTGTCCAGATGTGATTTGTGCACTTTTTTGTTTGTGGTTACACGCCTCGTGTGAGGTATAGGGATGGGTGGCACCCATAGGGTGTCCCCGGAGCAGAGGAGGTGGGCTTCTGCTGCCACCAGGTGAGGATCAACAGGACCTCTGGCAGCCGGACCCTCAGAACAGAGCCAGGCCATGTGATCCCCTCTTTGCCCCGTGAGATGATTCTGGGCTCGAGGGGTGGGCGTGGGGCGGCTCTGACAGCAGCAAGCCCCGGGGGGCCTCCGTGGGGTGGCTTTGCTGACAGACCCCGCCTACCCACTCTGGTGTGACAGGGGACAGGTCCCTGCTGCCCAGCTCTGCTGGGGAAGGGGCCTTACCCAAGCGGTCCCTTCCGCCCTCTTCTTGGGCACCTGCACAATAATAACGCTGCCTTATAAACAAGAAACTGTCCCTTTGCAAAGCCTTCTGTCCACATTCATTCATTTTCCTGTAAGGCATGGCTGGGTAACCGTCCTCACTCGACAGAGGAGGAGACCGAGGGAGGCCCAGAGAAGTCCAAGACCACACACACGTCCAGTGGAGGCAGAGCCGAGGGACAAGCCGTGGCCTCCCTCCCAGCCCTGCTCTCTCGGCACTGAGCACGGGAGCCCCGGCTGGCAAGGGCAGGAGCTCTCTGAGAGAGGAGGCTGGATGGCAGAGAAGCAGCATGGGGAGGGATGGAGGCCCAGCCTGCCCACACCCAGTGGCGGAGGCACATCGGGCCAGGTCCACAGAACCCGGGCTGAGGGGATTCTCGCCTGCGGCCCTTTGAGGAGATGTGGCCCCCTGCTTCTCCGCAGGGTTCACAAATTCACGTCCATTGGGCAGACACTACTAAACTGGCAGCGACCACGGCAGGGCCTCCCCGGTCACGGTTGGCCGTTGTTAGGCTGGGCCAGCGGCGCCCCTGCAGACCCCCAGACCCCCTGTTTCCAGCGGGGGTTTCCCTCCTCCGGGCTGGCGCAGGCTCGCAGGGACCCAGCTCTGGGTGGTCTCCCTGCCTGCCCTGCCCTGCCCTGGAGCCCGACACGGGGGCAGGGGTGGCCGACCCCGATAAACAGGAGTTTTATAGGCACGAACGTGAGCCCTTCTCGGGAAGACTGTCTCACTTTTCTCCGAGCAGGAGTTTCTGGTGCCAGGCGGAATCGTGGGCATGTAGTACAGTGTAAATATTCATCAAGTTTGCGCTCAGTTCAGCAAATATTTCCGGAACATCGACGGAGGGGCAGGCCGGGTGCCGGGGCTAGAGAGGAATGAAGCAGCCCTCTCCGTCCCAGAGAGCACTCCGTCCGTCTCCCGGGCAACACGGCTGTAAATGCAGCTTCAGGGTGGCAGGCGAGGGCCATGGGGATAAGAGACACCCCAAGGCAAGGCATTTGGGTGGGTTGGGGTTCAGCAGTCAGGAGGGCCTCCTGAGGGGGTGACATCCGAGAGGGGTGAGGGCTAACATGGCCTGTGCTGGGGGCGATGGGGCACGCCCTGGAGGGAGGGGGCGCCTTTCATCTTTGAAGAGTAAAGTGCAAAGCAGGGGGCAGGAGGAGGTGTGGGCGGCAAGGGAGGAAGGCTTGCAAGCCGGCTGGGGGCCAGGATCTTCTCTTGTGGGCGAGGAGGCCCAGCTGTGGCCCTA